TATATATTTGATCATGAGTTTGGTTTGCTTTCTGTGGCACAAGGCTTAGCTGATGAGCACACTAACGTCAACGTCTCCCTTTCAGAGAACATGGGACTAACATTAAGAAAAGCCATGAGGGAAGGTGCACGGCAGAAGGTACTCCTGTAAGTGTAACTGCTGTAAAATACACATCATCTCCTACTCCCTCTCCAGCCTGCGAAAGACCCTGGCTGGGCTCAGGGCAGCCGCAGCGCTCCTGGATACACCTAACGGTGATGCACAGGGCTCATGATGGCGCTGCGGCTCTCCCTGACCACTCACAGTGGCTGCTGCCAATGCGCTGCACATGAGGGGAAGAGAGAACGGGAACAGGCCAGGACTTCAGAAACAAAATGTCCCAGTGCTGCAGATCCCTGCACTGAAATCATCAGAGGCAGCCCTTTTTAGCACACTAAGAAAGGAAGACAGAAGGCTGTGCTGGATGTCAGTGTATTCATTTGGTGCTAGGATTCCCATTGCACTAGACAGGCAGGTTAAAATATTCCTCATGCCCTGGTTGGCCAGGAAAAATCTGCTCTCAGGTATGGATGCAAAAATAGCTTTATTATCCTGCACAGTAACAATATGTGCTGATAATATCTCAACACACTTATTCTGCTTATGCAGAGCAGCTCTAAAGCACCAAAAATAATTTCATGCATCCTGAGGGACTGCAATATATTTTCTATACTAAAGACACATTTTTAAGATGCTGTCTTTAATTTGCTCTTGGACCACATGGGAAATATGGGTAATAAAAGACACTGCACTGGAGAAACTAGGCAAAATGACAGTGAAGTGTCATTGATGCTTAGCTCATGTAGACTGACTTCCAATGAGTTTGTCTGTTTATCCTCAGATATTTAAAACGTTAGACTTTGTATACCATAAATTAAATATTTCAGCAGGTGCTGGTGAAACAGTTCTTGCTGCTGCTATGAAAAAGCTGAAACAAAATCTCAGATTTAGTTAACTGTGACTTAATGTCAAACATTTTAAATCGGATTCTTTGGGTTAAATGATTGTTTTAAAACTTGCATGTGAACTACTGGAGGGAAAAGAATCTTTTTGGCCAGCTGTTCCTTTCCTCCCTCTGCTAGCAGACAATACCAACCCCAGCTACAATTACTTAATTCATTTATAATGGAAGACTGAACTTAAAACCCCTCTGATTTTCTGGCAGAAGCCTTTAAAATCTGGATGAGCAGGGTGGACAGACTGCAGATGAGGAACTCTTCCATCTCCCAGCATTGTTACTTTCTCTCTCCAGGTTGATTGCAGCACATACCTGCGCGGTGCCGAAAGTGGGGGAGCAATTGCAGCCTGCCCCTTAATCCTGCGTGAGATCTGTGGGACAGACGGTGTCACCTACACCAATGACTGTTTGCTGTGTGCCCATAATGCGTAAGCCTGGAGGTCACCCCTGAGATCTCAACAGAGTGACTTGCTGAGCATTTCTAACTCTGCTTTCTTTTCCAGTGAATTTTCAGCTAATGTTGCAAAGAAGCATGATGGAAGGTGCTTAGAAGTTCCCCAAGTAAGTAAAATGTAAAGAAAGCCAAGAATAACACAATGATTTGAGTTGGAAGGGACCTTCAAGATCATCAAATTCCAACCCCTTCCACTAGACCAGGTTGCTCCAAGCCCCACTCAGCCTGGCCTTGAACACTGCCAGTGTTGGGGCAGCCACAGCTTCTCTGGGCACCCTCTGCCACTGCCTTACCATCCTCATAGTGAAAATTTCTTCCTAATATCTAATATAAATCTCCCCTCTTTCAACTTAAAGCTGTTTCCCCTGCGTCCTGTCACTACATGTCCTTGTCAAAAGTCCCTCTCCATATTTCTTGAGGCCCCTTTTAGGCACTTATATACCCTGCGTACCCCTTTAGATACTTCAGGTGTAGCCCTTTAGGTACTAAGAGCTTGAGTGGAGGCTGATTGCATAACTTCAATAAATTGTTTTGCTTGCTGGTTTTGGTGGTGTAGCCTTCACCCAGCATCTCAGCTTCTGCTGTCCTTCCTTCTGAGGGTGAATATCACTCTCCCAGCAGTAGGAACATTGTGTGCTTCCTACACGCAGTCAAGAACAGAAAGGGGAGAGGACAGGTGAGGAATGACTTATGAGACAGGTAGCATAAATGATTTAAGGCTTTACAAGAAGAAATCCTTTTCCCACAGCAGTCATAGCTGCCGCCGGGACTGAGCAGTCTGTTTTGGCAATACAGGAGGGGGATGCAGAGGGCTCAGGGTATCCGGTGCCTTCTGGAAGCTTGCGTTTTACAAAAGGATGTTCTGCAAAGATTAGAAAATTGCCTGTGTTTTGCATGCTGATACCTAATGTACCAGGGCATTCAAACCACTTTCTGTTTTTTTATTGTAAATGCAATGTAATCTAATGTATACCAACAATGAATCTTGTAAAAATACCAGTTTAGCTATATTTGGCCAGCTCTAAACTATCTATGCTCTCTGGGGAACTGAAGAACAAAGCCATCTCATTAGCATGTGTTTGAAAGAGTCAACAGCCCGAGTCAGATATTTCATTTCTATACAAACAAACTATGAAATGTCATTCCTTTGTTTCCTGAGTGTGCTCTGTGCTCAGACTGGGTGAGATACATAAATCAGGGAGGAAGAGCTCACACTGGAGAAACTGGGAGTGCTAAATACAAGGCCAGTTCTGCAACTGGTGTAAATCAGCTTCAGCTGCTGTCAGTCCTGTTGGCAGATTTCAGCACTCGGAGCCATCCTGTTGCAACAAAAGGCCTGTCAGCACATCTGATCCATTCTTGTGGGCCATGAAAAACACCTTGGTCACAGTCGGCCCTCTTGCAGGATGTACATAAATCATGCCATTTTGATTTGCAGATTATTTTTGAGCTGCATTTTGCAATATCCTATTATGTCTGTTCAGCAAAGTATAGGGACATCAAGATAAATACAAAGCTGAATGAGTAATGTCTACCTCCAAGCCTTGATTCAGCCTTCTCCAGCATAAGACTATGAAAGGAAATTGCTAGTTTTCCATGAAGAACGACTTAATGTATAACCATAATTTGTCCTGTGGCAGACACCAAAGGGCAGAAGCATGAGCATGGGGGTTACACAGAGCTGAGCCTGTGTCTTTGTTCCCCAGCCTGACTGCAGCCAGTACCCAGTTTCCACGCTGGATGATGGCAGACAGCTGATGGCCTGCACCATGATCTATGATCCCGTCTGTGGCACTGATGGTGTCACTTACGCCAGCGAGTGTACACTGTGTGCCACCAACCTGTAAGTAGTCATTCTCCCTGGGGGATTCACAGCGGTGGTGGTTGGATCTGTAATGTCAAGTAGTGTGCAAGGGCTCCCCCTAAAGCCCTGTGCTGGGTTGGTCCTGCCTGTCTACCCCCATTTTCCTGCTCCCCCCGGTTGGTGTTTGACATGGGTGTTCAACCCCAGAGCCCCACAAAGGGAGACACATCAGTTGGGAAGAATGTTATACCAGAAGACACATGCCTGGTCCATAAGCATAACATTCTTGTTAGTGATGTGTGGGCAGCGCCAAGCAAGTTTATCTGAAAATCTCCTGTGTGCACTGTGTAGGAGTGAGGTTTGTTCTTGCACTCTAATGGGGAGGGTTGTGGCAACAATGGTTTCTCTTTCCTCCAGGGAGCGTCAGGCCATTGTTGGCAAAAGAAAGAATGGACGCTGTGAAGAGGATATTACGAAAGTGAGTGGGAAAGGATGGGAACTAAGAGTGAGGTCCAGTGCCTGCTACACTCATGGGGGACTGTCCTCTGCTCTGGGTTAGGAATTGGGGTAGCGGTGGTGTGCTTACTGGTCATAATCAATATCTATCCCATTGCTCTGTAACAGTGCAGAAAAAGATGTGGCACTGAGAAGGAATAGTAAAAGAGCGCATCTGCCACCAGGAGGAAACTGAGTTTGCTATTATGATGTTACAATTTAATTTCTCAGTGGGGTGTCATTCCTTATGCTGGGGGGGACGGGATGGGATGTGGTTTCCTCGCAGGTAGACTCACGTCTATTTTCTGTGTGCAGGAGCATTGCAAGGACTTCCAACAGCCCTCTGCTATGTGTACCATGGAATATATGGCCCACTGTGGCTCTGATGGCAAAACATATGGCAACAGATGTTTATTCTGCAATGCCTACCTGTATGTACAAGAGTAAAACTCTTCCTCTCATGATCAATTCCTATACCTGCTATGAGTGCAGGGCTGTTTTCATAATGGGTTTTTGACTAACTGCTTATGGGCATATACTGAATATTTCTGATGCACCATGACTTATTCAAGGACGTGGCTGTTTTTGCATTTTAAGGGAAAACACAAAGGGCCCATTTCTGTGATCTGTATGTGGCTTCCCGTTTGTTAACTTGAAAGATATTTTACTCATTTTCATCAGCATGTAATCTTCCCCACAAGCTTATCAGGGCATGTGGAAAGTACTTCACCAAACCAATTGGATTGTATCAGATGTGTGAAACTATTCATCTTTCCTTTAATGATAATAATGAAAAGGCTTTTGAGACTGTTCTTTATCTACAGTCAATGCTAAGCTAACACTTGAGCCAGTGAGTGAGGAGCAGGGTTTCTTCACTGAATATCCTCTGTCTAATCCTTCTCTTTCCTTTTCTCACCAGGGAAAGCAACAGGACTCTGAACCTCATGAGTATGACTGAATGCTAAGTGTGTGCTGAAGTCCAGCCCAGGAAGACAAACTCCCTTACATGTGGCTTCCTACAGGCTGATCTTCCCCAACAGCTTTCCTTCAGTTTGTCTCATTTCCTTAGCTCCTGAAACACTTCTTCAATAAACTCACTTTGCAACATTTCTCCGTGTTAATTCCATGTCTCATTCCTTTTGCCCCTTTGCTTCCCTGACATGGTACTTCTAGTGGTGCATATGTATTTTTCTATTGATATCCTGCTCTATCAAACATTGTGGGTAAATATTTTCCTGCCATGCGACAGTGTAATCCCTGCTCTGGTGAAGGCCTGACCTCTCTTGGAGCTCCCAGGCACTTCCTTACTCTTCAGAGTCTCTTTGTCAGTATTAGTTTCATCCAGACATTAATATTTCTCTCTGACCTGATCATGGACTTCACAGTGCAAGGAGGTGTTTAACTCAAGGGCATGGTCCACATTCTCCACAGGGCAATGTCTAGGATGCAGGTGGTGGTTTGCTCTCAAGAAAAGCCCTTTCTTGCTGCGGGCTAGAAAGGGAACCTGGCTGGTCCTGGCTTCCACTGCTTGTGGAGCCTGTCTCATGGAAGAGGCAGCAGCCTCTCTCCACTGAATTTGTCCTCAGTGTCAAGTGCTGTTATAGGATATAAACTACAGGAGGGGAATGTCAAGATTCCTCCAGGGTCACAGACAGAAGTGTCTACTCACAAAATGTCTTGATTAATTAATGCAATGGAATACCTTCAGGACTGGTGGGCAGAAAACACATCTGGAGTGGGGGACAGCCCTGGTACATCACTGCAGCTGCCTGACTTCTAAAGCCATTCAGGAAGGAAAAAGGTGCAGAGGTTCACCGGTGACCAGTTTTAACTCAATATATAACAAGTCATAGGAAAGTGGTTCTGCCATGTTTTGTCTACTTTTTTAAGGCCAAGGAGCTCAGGACCTGGTGATATAATTGATGTCACTTTGGTGTCTGTATTGATGTCAGGGAGTTAGGGGGATATATGGGCTGCCCTTCATCTGTTGGCAGCATAGCTGCATCTACTACCAGTAGCTTTACACCAGGTCATCAAAGCTATTACAAATCCAGTATTTCAGGATTAAAAGATTTCTTCTGGACTATAGCTAATGGTTTCCTGATTCAATGTCCATTGTAGTTTACTAGAGAATAACACAATTATTTGGATTGGTTTGGAAAGGCACTTTTTGAATTGTCGGGCTATAAGAATAGGCTGAAGGCAAGTGTTCCTGTGTTGGAGATACTGTGGGTACTGTACCAGGGAATGAGGCCATAGTACCTCTGTGCCATTAGTGTCTGCGGCTGGCATGTACTTTTTGAGACGATTTGCGGCTAACAATGGCTTATTGTACTTCTCTTGGGTCTATGTCCTAATGCAAACACTCCTTTGGTTTGTATAACCTTTTCGCCATTTTCAGTCAAGTTGTTTTTGCAGAACATGCTGCTTTAGTCTTGTTTGAGTGTTACTTGGTTACCCTCAGGGATAAGACCTGAGTAATTTTTTTTCTTGTGGACTTTGGCAGACTTTCACTTGGACTTAGTGCTGACTGCTGGCTTTTGCAAGCCTTTGCAGTAAAGCTGTCAAGATCCAACTGAATAACATTAGCTGGGCACAGCCGTGGCAAAGCCTCCTCTGTGGAGCTCATTGTCTGATGACACCAAAGGCAAACACGGACTCAGGGAGGTATAATGTTGAGACCAAGTCAGAGCAACCCAGGGAAGAGGCCAAAGTAGTCACTAGACAGAGGTTTCCATGCAGTATTCACCAGTAGGTTTCGGGTAAAAGTACATAATGGAATAATCACTAAAACTGGGCCAGAAAATGAGAAAAGCCTGACACTGGAGTTTAAATATCCCTCAGGCTCAGGGGGTGTTTTATGAAGCAACATAACTCTAGAAAAGTAGAGCAGTCTTCTTCTCAGGGACAGAGCTGTTTTCTGTGCCTTGGAGTTGTTTTTCAGCTGTTGCAGGGTTACTTACTGCATGTGTGCTAATCACATGATTTCTTTCTGCTTTGTGTTGGAACTGGCCTCAAGTTGCACCAAGGGAGGTTTAGATTGTATATTAGGAAAAATTTCTTCACTGAAAGGGGTGTCAACCATCGGAACAGACTGCCCAGGGAAGTGGTTGAGTCCCCACCCCTGGAGGTATTTAAAAGACTTGTAGATGTGGCACTTGGGAACACGATTTAGTGGTGGACTTGGCAGTGCTGGGTTAATGGTTGAACTCAATGATCTTAAAGGTCTTTTCCAATGAAATGGATTCTGTGACAAAGAAGCAAGGGTCAGGCAAAGACATGCACCTTCAAGAGGAAGTGCTGAATTTTTGTGGTTTAGGAGAGAGGTAGGACAATGCCAGGTTCAAAGTGCCACTAGGAGACTTGAAAGGTGCTTTTGAGGTATGGTTGAGTGAGTTGGATGCCTGTTTGTTCATAGCTAGAGGAATGGCTGGATAGATGGACAAATAGAGCACCAAGAGATCATCTCATGAGTTCAGTGCTTGCCAGACTGCAAATATATTCAGTAACTGTCTCCACTATAATGCTGACAGATGCTTTGGTGCTGCTTAGCCCATTGCTCCGTTGTTTCTTGGGTGCACACTGCTGCAAAATGCCAAGGCTGACTTTCTTAGTCACCTCACACAAAAGCCTGAGCAGCTTCGAAATGGTCAGGTTACTCTCAAAACTCATTCACTTCTCATGATAAGAAAGCCTGTATTTTAACTTGGAAAGAGGCACTAAAAGGATCAGGCACAAGCATGGCTTTAGTCCTGCTTCAGTGAACTCTTCTTTCTGCACTCTTTTCATGAACAGAACTAGCTGTAGGTGCAGCCTTATATCCTCAGTCAAGGCTGCAGGGAAGGATCCAGCCCCACGCACTGCCTTGCAGCCACTACTGCAGCTCTGGATATCAGTGACCAAGCTCCTAAGCCATGTCAAGGGCTGATGAACTTTGCTGTATTTTCATCCAAGGTCTGACCTCGGGATTCGTGACCTGTGAATGCACCGGTACATATTACAAAGGCAATACTTTAAGAATATAAATGTTCTCTCTCCTTCCTTGTTTGTCTTGGTTACCTTTATAGCCTTATCAATGTCTTTTTGAATCTACAGTCATTTTTCTTGCAGCACAAAGAGGAGGAAGAATGAGGTGAATCACTGAAATCTTGATTGATAAGTGGGATTTAGAAAACAATGCTTAGTCTTTTCATACGGAGCCAAAAATTTTTTTCCATTATTTATCAGCACTCACCTATCTGTGACTTGAAAAAGAACCCAACAGACAACAACTTTTTCTTGATAGTGTCTGTACCTAAACTTCAGTCAAACACTTTAGCAAAAATTCTATGCCTTTCAAAACTATGTCTGCTGATTTACCTTGTTTTAGCTTTTTTTTTTAGTGTGCTGCTTTTTCCAGAGAGGCATGCAGATGGGCCTGGATACTCTGTCAATCTCTCTTGAGTGGTGCTTGAGAGTGACAAGGCTCATCCCACTGATTTTTTAATGTTCTTTTTTTTCAGAAGAATATCTAAATGGGATGTTTTTTACGACTTTTAGAACTCCATGTTCCTCAAAACAAAAGAAATACAGAAATAATTATACGAACTCATCGTGTCAGTTGCACAGGTCTATTTAACTGTCTGATAGCAAAGAAAATACTCTGGGAACTGGAAAGATTTCCCCAGACCTCTATATTTAAAGAAATATAATCCTGGTATCCACTTGTTTCATCCGTCAATACATTCACACTCAGAAATGTCCATTCTCTTGCTGTAATTTAATGTTTGATACAATTTTATTTGATTCTTTGCCATGCTCTGGGTTCCGGTTGTGTGCTCTCTGCTGATCAATGAGTAGATACGAGAAAAGCAGACAGCAGCCATGGAAAGGAGCCTGTCTCCAACTGGCAGACATCCACTCTGCTTAGGAGGGTTTTCCAGAATCTCACCAGCTGAGGTGCAGCCCCATAAGTTTAAATATACTGTGAATTTGCAAACAAAGAGCATTTGCATAGCGTGGTGCTTCCTGCCTATTTTTCTTTCATAGAAGTAAAACCTGAATTTCATTCAAGCCCCCTGAATAATGAGGAACGTTTGGAAATGTATTGCTTTAAGCCCTTCTACTCTGCTCCCTTTAAAGCGCAGCCCCGGGGGCACTGCTGAGGATGGCCGGTTTGGGCCCCCTGGCCAGGCGCTGGAGCAGATCTGTGGCACAGATGGTCTCACTTACACCAGTGAATGTGGGATATGTGCCCATAATGTGTCAGTCTGATGGAAAGAACGTGCTTTCCGAGTGACAGTCCCCTAGCCCCTGGCCTCTCCCTGTTCGTTTCCAATTTATCCTCTTTTTCTCCCTTTTCACTCGTTGTTTGTGCTTGGAGGGAAATCATGAAGATTTAGTGGAGAAAACAGTCAAAGAAAATATCTGGAGTGGAAATCCAGATGATGCAGTATATTCAGATGGCACAGGTTTGTTGACTGGTAGGAATATAATAGCCAGAGACAGTATAACCACTTCATTACTGGTGGTTAACTCAGATGAACTCTCCTTCACTTGCACTATTTGGGAGTTTTATTTACATTCCCAGCACCCAACCCCCTTTGGGAAAATGGTCATACTGTCTCTAATATCAGACTTTTCCTTCTTCAGGGAAGATGGCACACCCAGAGTCTCAGGAACAGCAGTCATCCCAGTGACTAAGAAGGCAGGCAAACTAAGAAGCAGCCTGATCTCCCATTGCTCTCTGTGGCATCATCCCAAATAATGTCAGTCGGATGCTGAGCAGGCAGCACACGATTGGACGTAAGTGATGCATATACCTTCTGTTGACATTTTCTTTGGCAGGGATTTAACGCTAGCTTTCTAATAATGCCATTCTCCACAGGCTTCATTCAAATGTATGAAGAGAAGGATGGCAAAAAAGATACAAAATATGAGTCAAGTAGGAGAAATATTTCTTTGCTATGCAAGCATGCACAAGCAACCTTCACTGACAGCATCAGGACAGTGCAGCATAACCTGTTTCAAGACCAGAAAAGGAGACACACAAAACATTTGCAGGTATCAGTGCGTTCTGCTCTCCTGAGATAAGAATTTTTGTCAGGTTGCAAATGGGGCATGGTGCACAAGCCAGGGGATGTAGGAGCCATATGATCATGTATTAAGTAAATAACTGCATTACTTTGCTAGTGTAATAGTTCACAGGTGGTAGAAGTCCTGCTATTTACCTCAATTTCTCTGAAATAGTAAAATCCTGTAATTTGGCAGCATGCTGCTTTCTTTCAGAACCAACTCTGCTTCACCCATGTCCAGCTGCAAAGAATCAGCCAGTGGTCTCATTAAAGCTCAACTCTGCAAAATAAATGAAACTTTTGCCCTTTATTTTGATGTTAATAATGAAGGAAAAAGTGCTCAGTGGTTATGATGCTAATAGTCCTTCAGCTGTAGAAACTCTTTCCATCCAATACCTCCTATTCCAGCCAAGTTTTCAAGTTACGGCACCATTATGCATTCCGTCTCTTACCCTTTTTCTCCCTTTCCCATAGGGGAGAGCAGTGGATTTTCATTCTTAGCCTGTTGCACACCTATCCCTCAGAAATAAAATCCCTTCTTGCTGCTTTATTTGCAAGATCTGTCTTAAAAAGCAAACCACCATTCCTCCCAAATCCCAGAGTTGCTCTTGGTGTTTTCTCCCCCTAAATGAAAGCAACCACCTTCATTTGTCTTTTCCAAACATTGTTTCTTGTATGAATTTTTGCTAGTTTGTTGGTTGATGAGATCTGGGAACATGTTTTTGTTTGATGCTCTACTTGCTCCTTTTCTTCATTGCCTTGTCCCTTGGTGTCACATGGAAAGAAAACTTTGCCTAGGGATGCAATGCATTGATGTTTCTTGGGGCAGTTAATAGGCAGTGATGCCTCCAGGTTACTGTTGCAGCAGTGGATTAGCACCTCCAGGAACAGCTTTGCTGTCCCTGTTGTTTCCTCCCATATGAGGTTTGTTTAGGGGGAGACACTCTTGGAATGTTTATCTAACTTAAAAACCACTTTAGACTAATTCCTCTCTCATACATGTCATTAGCTGTGTATAGATTTCTTCCCCTTTAGCTCCCTCAAGTTGGACAGAGCCTCAGCTCACCCTGTCCTGAGCTTGCACGAAGAAGGTTCCAGATCCTGGCCCAAACTGTTGTCGAGCTATAGCCTCATGGGGATCTTATTCAAAGACCTGGGGCTGTGAAAAGGGTACAAAAGCCCTGAGTCCAAGGCTTTGGACATTTACTCAAGGAAATTCTTCCTCTGTTACTTACTATTCCAGATAGAGCTCAGAAATAATTGCTATTCTAGTCCTCCTGACCTCTGATCAAGAGCATAAAAGGAAACTATGACTTGTTTACAGCCAGACCTCCTCGAAATGAACAGACTTGGTGTTTTACTTACCAAGAGGAGGGAGATGTAAACATCGAAGGTTAATTACCCTCTTGCCAAGAACACTTTGTGGTCTTTAGACATGTCTGTCAATCTTAGGAAACAGAACTGAGGGGAGCGAGCACTGAAGGCATGTTCCTATGATAAATTAATGAGGCTTGGCAGCTCACTGTGAAGAGGTGATTCCTGTGCTTGATAGGAGACTATAACCTGTCTCCCCAGCCAGCCTTACCACAGCATTCGTACTGCAGCTGCATCTGGGATGCTTATCCCTCTGTAAACAAGCTCTTGATTGCAGCTGTCCAGGAATCAAGTGATCTTCCTTGAAGCCTTCATATTCCTCCTTGCTGCTCAGTGGCATGCAGCAACTGCTCATCCCAACCATACTGAATTAGTTTTTCCAGCCCTGATAGTTAGTCAATTAAAATACCTTTTGCCTATAAGCTTCTCATGGCAATGACACTGTTTGGTGGCTTGTATAGCTGTCTGGAATCCAAAAGACACAGCCATGATCCCCCTGTCGTGTGCTATTCTGATGATGTGCGTGCTGCTAGATGTCTGGTAGCTTGAAAATGCCTCATCTGCTGTCCTTTAGGGACGTGTTCAACTATTCCCCTGGTTTATATAACCTCAAAGTAATTTGCTTTCATGGCAGAAATGCTTATTCATTCTATTTTAACTGTGCATTGAGTTATAAATAATGATTCCTTGCAGATAAGAATTTATTGACCTTTTATTTTTTTTTCCTGCCTTTGGAAGATTTTCTCCTGACCCCAGCTACTGAAGGAGGCCTTCCCAGCCTTAGCAATGAAGTTGCCAGGTTAACTTTCTCCTGCCAGGCAGCCATGAATGGTGTCAATCCCAGGTTGACTGTAACTTCCCACAGCCACCTCCTCATTGTTTCTGCTTGGGCTGTGGCAAAGATGAAACGAGCACTCACTGAGGCACAGCTGAGATCACAGGAGTGTCAGGAAAACTGAATAAACCAATGATTCCCTCTTCTTCTGACCAGCTGCAGAATAACGTCTCCTGCATTACCTCCAAAACACCTTCCCTGCAGTATGTTCACTTCAAAGAGCCGTAGGCTGGGCCACTGTCCAGCCAAATGTTTTGCTCCTTAGTGCCTCCTTTTTCTGCTGCTCATTCTAGCATTTTCCTGCTTTCATGTGAGTAACTCTTGCCCTGTGCAACTGAGACCTGACCTGACATCCTTATCATCCAGAAAAAACCCAGGGCTGAAGCACAGCATGACCTGGTGTGGCGAGAATTGAAGGTATGTGCTCAGAGCTGATGCTACAGCACAGCAGTGAAGTGGCTGCTATTTTGGCAGCTGATCTTCTGTGCTGCAGGTAACTCTCTGTAGGTTCAAATGCTGATGCCCTTCTGAGGAAGCAATGTGATGGCAGGGAGCCCGGGCTGTTGCAGAAATGGAGAGACTTTGAAATCATTGCAAGCTAATAACATTCTCATATTTGAACAGTGTGTTTGTGTTTTAATGATAATTACAATCTACTCTTTTCGTTGTACATGTTACTGGTCATCCCTATAAAAGTGTCTGGGAGCTCTTATCTGTGACTCTTTAGGTGGTAGGAAAACTTTGAAGCTGCTCTCCTGGATCGTGGAGAAATATTATGATCATTAATAAAATCTATCTGTAGGAGAGAGCATTATATGAGTACCATTTACCTAAAATAACTCAAGTTGGAAGAGCTCTCTAGAGGTCTAAAACAAGGCCAAAGTCCAAGTCAGCCCAGGGTCCTCAAGATTTTCCTTATTCAGCTGGGTTTTCAGTATCACCTAGGAAGGACATGCATGGCCTCCTCTGATTCCTGTGCCACCGCTTGATCAACCTCATGGCAAAGAATAACTCCTCACATTTGTCTGAATGTAATCCTTTTGCTGTGCAGCTCTGAGAAGATTGGCTCTGTCTTCTCTAAACCCCATCAGACCTCAGCAGTGACCCCCCACAGCCATCTCTTCTCCAGCTCCTTCAGCTTACCGAAATGCCCTGTGCTATGGTCCCTGACCAGCCTGGTGGCCCCGGCTGGACTTGTTCCTATGTGTCAACATCTGTCCTTGCAGTGGGGCCAAGTACATTTAATTCATTGCATAAGTAATGTGACACCATGTTAGCCTTCACCTACAGGGTACAAAGTTCCACACATGGTCTTATTAGCTCAGAAAAATATTCACCGGCATTACCTGAATCAAGCTCTATTTAATAAGCTCATCAACACCTGGATATGTTTCCATGTTGATATGTTTTAATCCTATCAGTGACTTTGCTTTATTTATTAGTTCAAACAACACCTTTGGGCAGTAGGTGAGAGGCAGATCTTCCATTTGTTCTGTATTGGTTTCTCTGGGCACGTGGTTCAGTGTGAGCAGTTATTGACCATACTGTGGCCAAGAGAAAGACAAAGATGGAAACTGCAATCTGTATTGTATTTAGCAGGCATTTTGGAGTGATTAGAGGCAATTTCATGAAACAGCTACAACTAATTATTATTATTTCCCACTTTTACAACAGCAATTTGTTAATTAAATAACGTGACAAAACCCAGGAATGTTTGGAAAAGTGTATTGAGTAATTTGTCATTCATTTATCAGGGTATTACTGTTTACTATTACTGAGAAGTCACATATCGCCTAAGAAAATTTCTCACATTGGTTTTGATTCTTCCAGAGAATATGAAATCGATACTGGCAAAAAATTCAATGGAAAATGTAGACCAAGGAAGTCTTTGTGTAAGTGAGAGAGGATGTTGTATAATGGCCAAATCCTGCCCTGGTGTCTGCCAGCAGACCCCCTGGTGCCCTGAAGCACTAACACATGGTACCCTGAGATGTGGTACTGCCTTTGCTTGCTAGCAGACCTCTGCCTTTGTGCTGGCTTCTGCAAGGATGAGGATTTTTCCATTAGCAAAATGGTCATCAACCATACAGTACGTCTGAATTTGAGGATTAGAAGACTGTAATGAAGTAGATTACAGCGTGAGATCAGTGGCAGGATTGCAGACCAATCCTCTTTTTAACTGTTCTTCCAAGAGTAACTACGAGCTGAGCAACCTGTCCCACAGCATGAGCTGAGCCAGCTGTGGGATTTTTCCGTGCCCTTACCAGAGGCAGGATAATCTAGAGCTATGGATGTTGGCTGGCTGAGTCTGAAACCTGGTGATCTCTGGGTGTTGTTTTTGTGGCTTGCCTGAGGGGGCACCTGAACAGCTCAGGGGAGACTCGTGACTTAACTGTCACATACCTGAGTCTCCCTAGAACATCTGTAGGTGAGATAGTGAAGGAATGGATCTGCTGAACACCAGACGAGTGTTGTGGTGATTGAGATGAATCTGGGTTGCCTGGGGCAAGTGCCAGACCCAGTGCTGAACCTGGCATTTGCAGTGGAAAATCTTATTCTGGTGTATACAGGCCACACTCACCAGCCTTTGTCAGGAAGGCGCTCTCCACCCATCCAAGGAGAGGTCCATCTTGCCTAGAGGACCGCACCATCTGGGGCAGTGTCGTGGTTTAAACCCAGTCAGGTAACTCGTTCACTCACTTCCCCCCCTTTCTTGCCCTCCCCCTGCTCTCGGAGGGACGGAGAGGAGAATCGAAAAGAATGCAACTCCCACAGGTTGAGATAAGAACAGTTTAGTAACTAAGGTATAACACAGATCACTACTGCTACCACCAATGATAATAATGATAAAGGAAATAACAAGGGAAGAGAATACATCATCTCACCACCAGCCGACCGATAACTCGCCCCCCCCCAGCCCGACCAAGCTCTGACCGATACCTCCTCCAACCCTGCAGTCCCCCAGCCCTTCCGGCTAACTCCCAGTTACATCCTGGGCATGGCGTGCTGTGGTATGGAATACCTCTTTGGTCAGTTTGGGTCAGGTGCCCTGTCTCTGCTTCCTCCTGGCTTCCCCTCCTCCCTGGCAGAGCATGAGGCTCACAAAGTCCTTGGCCAAACCAAAACATCGCTTGTTATCAGCTCTGTTCCCGAGCTGAAAGTCAAAACATTGCACTGCACCAGCTACCAAGAAGGGGAAAAATGACTGCTACTGCTGAACCCAGGACAGGCAGGGAGCAGCAGCACTGTGGGCACCGGGCAGGAGACAACCTGTCCAAAGCTGTCAGGTCAGGGCTGGTGAGGATGATTTACAGTGGACTTGCTGCCTGGCTGGAGAAGGTAGTACCAAAGTTCATGTTTGACCCAGAAAGATGTACCTTCCTCCAACTGCAGAGACTGTGTGTCTCTTCATCAAAGAACCGATAAAGGCAACAGGCATGGCATGTGACAGCGGCCTCAGCATGATTCTGTGCACGCTTAGAGAAAGTACTTGGCTTCCAGGGACACCATCCACAAGGCACATTAGGGCAATATATCTGGAAGGTGTGCTCAATCCTTCTAAAATATTCATGCATGCTCTCTGTAATTTATAGAAATAAATCCAGCAGCATCATTATTTTAATGCTTCTCCCTGTGAAGAAACCCATCTCTTCCAGGTAAAAATGTAACCTATATATCCATACAGCCATGCTGCTGCCTTCATAGCTCACCATTGCCCAGAATAGATGACTCCATGCATACAATGCATGAATACAATACATGCAATGTATACTTTAAAGGGTCAAAGCATATCCTGTAGACCACTGCGACATATCAGACACCAATAAAATTTCTTGGGCTAATTTTCAATGATTTCAACTGAATTTCATTTGATTAATGGGTGGTGCCTTGTTTGTTCAAGGGAGCATCTGTAAAAGATCTTTTGCTCTGCAGCTCCAATAATGCTGAAGTCTACCCTAAGCACAGTGCTCAGCTCCCATGGCAGAAAACCCCAGGTATTCTTGCCGTTTCAGACCTGTGAAAGGGATCACGGTGAGAAACTGAGGTTAAAGGGAGAACCCACTTCTGCAAAATTACTCCTACTAAAGCTGCAGAGGCTCAGACCTCCTCTTAGGAAGGAGACACTTGGAGATCGCATGAAGGCTGGAGGTGTGAGACGGACAGGAAAATTGGGACAGGATCTATGTTTTAAGTATAATTTTCTAAAATATCTGTAGGGGGAAAGGACTTACTGTACTTGCAAACATAGCTGGTGCTATGTAAATAGGCTCCCAAACCTTCACTGTGTTTTGTTCTCAAGATGACTTGGCGGAACACTTTGAATTGGTTGGTGTGTTTCACTGTGGCTAGGTCTGTAAATAACTGCTCCCTCATGATAAGGTCCAAGTGACATTTTTGGTGTCATTTGACAGAATATAACCTGCTTTCAAGTCTGCTGAAGTGAAACTGTCAAGAAACCCTTTCACTTATCAAATCAATGCTAAATACCTTTAGCTGCACAGGTTAGACACAGTCCTGCTGGACTCACCTGGCAAAGCTTAACCAGTTCTGCTGATGGCAAAGCCACACCTGATGCATGTTCACACCTAGAGGGGGATATCTGGGAATGCAGGGAAAAAAACCCACCCAAAGCAAAAGAAAGCAAGCAGAGAGTCTTAGCCTGATCTGCATCAGGATAGTACTGCATGCTCTGCATGAGCTGCTCTCTGATGGGAGATGTTGTTCTGCAGAGACACATGAAGGACCTGCTGTTTACTCCCCTCGGTATTTTGTGCTTCTTCATTTCTACTTGAATCCTAAAGGGGTTTCTTTTGTCTAAAAGGCTGTTTGTTTGGTTTTGATCACTGAGGACGTGTGATAATTGTCTCAAGCTATTAACCAGATGTCCAGCCAAAATCAATTGCGTAGCAGATGCCGACCGTTACCTGAAAGTCAAGACCTCAATAAATATTACCAGCCTCATTGTGTTGGTGACAGATTCTACAGGTTGTTTTATGTTACAGTTGAACAGTTTAGACATTGCATTTGTATATATTTGCAGTCAGCCTTTGAGAGGCCATCTCATGATCAGAGCAGGAGCAGGCAGCCTGCAGACTCAAGACATACTTCCAACATGACCACAGCGGGTGTTTTTGTGCTCCTCTCCTTTGTGCTTTGCTGTTTCCCAGGTGAGTAACTCTTATGGCATCACAGAGGCTTCACATCTGAGTCCTGGCTGTCTCGAAAAAGGTAAGAGAGTGGCTTCAAGGAGAGAAAATCTTCTCCTACAAAGAGCTAGGATGCCCTGGTGCTTTGGCATCACGTAAGATGCGGGAGCAGATTTCGGGACAGGCTTAAATGGATCACTGTTGTAGCTGGTTGTCTGTCATAAATATAAATAACTGCAAATGGAGTTCTGTGCTGGTAACTAGTGCTTTTATGCTTTTTACACTGTTGCTTTAACACTGCTACACTGCTTACACTTGTTCTACAATTACAGAAAGGGGATAAATGCTTGAAACAAGGTAGTCAGACCTTCAGTAACTGAGCACAAAAATATTGCAATAGCACAAGCAAGTTCTTTTCAGGAGTCTGGCAACTTTTGTGCAATTCTTTTTCTGTTAATGGAGAAACAAGAGATGAAAACAAGCCAGGGTCTGATGTTATCATTGCATATTTCCATCTGATGAAATGATAAAGTCAAAGACAATTTTTTATTTCACACTTAGCTTCTTTAAAATGCATAAGCTTGACAACAGATGCTGTATGTATTTGCTTATCCTGTAGGTGACTATTTGCATTTACATTTGTATTGATTCAAGTTTCTTTTCAGATATCTAACAGTAGCTCTTTAGGGTCAAAATGGGTGTGTAGAAAGATAAGGAAGGAAAAGTTATTCTACTTTCAACTAATATGTCGACTTATCTTGAAATACAAAAGAACAAAGCTGTTCAAAAACGTGTTTCATCGCAGCCAGCAACAAGCAATGCTATTATACTTATCAACACAGAAAAGAAAAAAAATCATGCATAGTTTATTTAGTTCAGGAAACCAATCACTGGAAATCAGTTTGGTCCTGCATATAGGAATTTTACATCTAGAATTCCAGCTTTAACTGAGGTCTTATCATATTGGCTTTGTTTCACACTTTCTGCCTCTCTCTTCTTTTCCAGATGCTGCCTTTGGGGTGGAGGTGAGTGGAAGATTTCTTTCTGTCACTTTTCTCAGGTATGCGGCTTGGTAAAGACATAACTGAAGGAACAGGAAAAACCTCAGGACTGCAGATGCTTATCTGTTTTTCAGTTAGCGTGAAATTAGTGTCATTGTAATGAGATTCCAAAGTATAAAACATTAAATTATACTGTCCTTGGCTCTACATCTGTGCTGCATGTTAATAGTGTAGTAGCAGTAGTAACAATATAAAATTTTTATTAATTCATTTTTCACCAACTTTAAACTTGTTTAAGCTGTAAGTTGGGTCATATATGACTGGCTTTAAAAGGACAGGAATAAGCTGTGGTATCAGAAACTTCCTGAAAGCAGCCTGCTGGAAGAACAAAATACTACCAAGGTACTCCAGATTCCATGCACCATGTCATTAGCCTTGCTCCTCTGAATAAAAAACATAATCAGTGTTTTGATAATGAAAGAGTAATAACAGAAGTGCAGTGGAGGTGCCACAAGAATATAAAAACGGGAGAGCAACAGATAGCCTTTATAAAAGAATTTCAGGTAAGCATGAGAGACCACCACTGATTTACCCTATCTGAGGAGCTGTATGGCTGTAGCCCTCTCCTCCTCCTCCTTTCCTGCTGTGTGGGGAGGTCTCTGCAGGAAGGATTTGCCTGTTACCATATTGACCCACCAGCACAAGTGTGTGCAGTGGCAGTGAAAAACCCGCTGCAGGTTGTACCTGGTCACTGTCTCGTGCCAAATGAGAGTGGTGAATGTAAAATGTCTTCTCCACCCTGTTGCTGTACATTCCTTTGGCAGGTGGACTGCAGTACATACCCCAACACTACAAATGAGGAAGGCAAAGAGGTGTTGGTCTGTGCCAAGATCCTCAGCCCCATCTGCGGTACTGATGGAGTCACCTACAGTAACGAGTGCCTGCTCTGTGCCCACAACATGTATGTACTGCATAGGCAGCAATTCTTAGGATTCCTGGAAGCACCACTTTTTGACAAATGTCAGTAATGTCAATTCCTTCAAAATGAGCTTGGATATCAGTGCATGGCACTCCATCGCCTAGATATTGCCTTAGCCACTGTGTCTCTCTCTTGCTGGTGTAATTCATCCTTATTTTTCTTCTCCAGCTCAAGGATCAGCCAGATGATAACCCCTAGGGCATCATCTCATCACAGCAAAGCAGAGCAAAAGGATGGAGAGATGCCCTGCTCCGATCTGCCCCAAATGGTCCCAAAGCCCCTTCTCAAAAAATAGCTATATATAAGCCTGACTGATAGTCAGCTTTCCCTTGTATTGGTTACATATTTCCAGAACCTAGGATGTAGCAAGGCTTCTTTTTGAACTTCCTAATATTTGTCTTTCACTTTCCAGAGAAAACGGAACCAATGTTGGCAAAGATCATGATGGAAAATGCAAGGAAGCTGTCCCTGTAAGTGAAACCAAGGGGAAACTAAGAGGCATGTCCTGCTTCTCAGTGGCCAGAGCTGCTTGACTCCCCCCAAGAAAGAATTCAAACACTAAATAAGAGGACATATGAGATGTCAAAATCTTGCATTGGTCATCTTCAAGTGAATTGCCATCATAGTGACAGAGAGAAAACAATTTTTCCTGCCGTGGTAGTATCCTAGGTGGCCAGACACACTCGCCAGATCTACTTGCTTCTTATAAGTAAGCCTTCACCAGTGCTTTGTTGTGTGTTCCTTCAGCAGGTGGACTGCAGTGGGTATCCCAACACAACAGATGAAGAAGGTAAAGTGGTGTTGCTCTGCAACAAAGATGTCAGCCCCGTCTGTGGTACTGATGGGGTCACCTATGACAACGAGTGCCTGCTGTGTGCCCATAATCTGTGAGTACTGCATATGCAGAGCTATCCTATGAGGGACAGCAAGTGCTTAGCACTCCTGGCAACTTCTTTTCTGAATATCAGGACTTCCACCAAGGTCTTTTTTCTAAGGTGCTTGGACTTTGACCCTCCTCTTTCCCTGGTAACCAGACCTTGTTTTCCTTTGTGAATAGAAAGAAAACTGCCTTTGATCTAGAGAGAGAAGTAGAGGGCTGGGTGGAGATCTAACACAGGACAGAATGCTTCTCTTTACGAAGTTAAAAGGGTCTATGTGGCAGATGCTGCCTTGCAACTGACCTAAGGTGCATCAACATTGTCACACAACCTACCCTGTCGTTCACCCTAACACCCTGGATGCTCCCTTTTCCTTCACATCATGCTATAAGCCAGCACTCTGGCAGGCTGTGACACCATCTGCACTGCAACCTAGAGCGGTGTGGACACAACCTAAGTCGCATGTCTCCTGTATTCTGCCTGTTATACCTGAGGCTGATTAGCAATCCTGGGACATGCTTTGGAGCAGAGCAGGTTTCTCACAGAACTCCCTAATGTGGGTCTCTTCCTTTCCCAGAGAGGCTGGAACCAGTGTTGACAAGAAGTATGACGGTGAATGTAAGAAGGAAGACACTACAGTAAGTGAACTCTGTGATGAGGGACCATGTTTCAGTCCTGCTGATGTCAGGTTAAGTACTGTCAGTGTCTGCAGCAGCCCCAAAACCAGTAGCATCCCACAGAAGTGTAGCTGCTGCTGTGCTTCAGCACAGGGAAGATTTTCTTCTTCCACACATAATACATCCACACTAATTACAGGAAAGGAAGAGGGTAACTGCACAGAAAAGGACGAGTAAAAGAGTAGTAGCAGAAATAATTCATCAGGGCAGAAGTGAGAAGAACAGATAATGCCTTTTGGGGTCAGACCAATGGTCCAGCATGCCCCGATGGCTTGATGCAGAGCCCACTCTTAGCAGGAGTTGTAAGGACTGTGTAGGAGAGAGTAAGGGTAGAGTGGGTATGTATGATGTATGGGACTTCTCCTCTTTCAACCTCCAGCTATTTTTTGGGTGATGGACCTCAGCTAGCTGCAGTTTCTGTGTAGCCAATAAGCATTGATATATTTCTTCTCCATTAATTTCCTCAGCCTCTTCCAGGACCCATATGCATTTCTGCATTACAATACTCAGCAACTGTAGCACTCATAGCATAAGAAACAAAATCCCTCTCTCACCGTGCCTAGCTAAATGTTGATCTTCCTGTTTTAAGAATACAGGAGTGATACTGGACCCTTACACAAGCATCAGTGCATCAGCACTTACAGTTCTCCAGACAGCAGGGTTTTTCCATTTAATTTCCTGGCCTGGTTGGGAACACAGTACAATGTGATTATGAGCATGGCACGTTCACAGAGTGAATTGTTGCTGCTTGGAAATGCTATGGCCAGGGTATCGTACACATCTCTTCAAACAGGAAATTATGATCTATTTTTGTATTATAAAATTCTCTGGCATAGGAGGAACCGACACGTCCGTTTATATCAGATTGTGCAAGGAAGTTAATTACTTTCGGTTAGATTCTTATCATTTGCACTGCAGCTGTAGTGAGGGGTTCAAGCCCTTCTGCTGGTGACTCCTTCATAATCCTTCATATTAGACTTTTTCTTTTCCAGGTTGACTGCAGTGACTACCCTAAACCCGCCTGCACACTTGAGTACTTGCCTCTCTGTGGCTCTGACAGCAAAACATACAGCAACAGCTGTAGCTTCTGCAATGCAGTCGTGTATGTACAAACATGCATCCCATTCCTGTTACCAGTTGCCTTCTATAAGCGCAAGTTTGCACAGTTTTGCCACTTTCTTGTTTGCTGACCAGCGCTGAGTAGGAATATGGGGCAGGAGAGAACACCAGCCATCATGCCAACCATTCATTTTTGTTTCCATTGGAGCATACAAAGAGCTGTGTCCGGTTTGTCAGTGTGAATTGTTTGAACACCATTAATCTTCATGGAATTTTTCTTGCATGTTGCAAAGAAATGAAATTCAGAGTTTCATCACAGTTTCACAAAAAATATTTTCAGTCTTAAGAACGGGTTAAATCATCTCACTCGTCTCTTAGTTAATGGGACTATGAGTCTGCAAGCTCTTTGTCTTTGGGAAGGATCCTATCTGCCTTCTCTAGGAGCCAAGGAAACGGACAGATTATAGCAGACAGGACTCTGTCTAATCCATTTTTTCCTCTCCTCTCTTCCAGGGACAGCAATGGGACTCTCACTTTAAGCCATTTTGGAAAATGCTGAGTATCAGTGCTGAGAGAATTCACCACAGGATGCCCACTGGCAAATCCCAACTAAAAATCTCACCTCAGTTCATCTTGCCCTCTGGGGAACTCAGCTCACTCCTGATTTTCTTTCTCAATAAACTAAATCAGCAACATTTCTTTGTCTTGTTTCATGTGTTTCATGAAACATTTTCTTCTGGTTTGTTGAATGATGATGCCAGGCTGAATAGGTTATGTGCTGATAGCTCTGGGATATAACAAAAACTGCATTTTGCTCCCTTCCCTCTCATAAAAAGCACAAAATTAAATACAGATGCACAAACCTCGGAGCTGTGTGACTTTTCACATCAATGATAGTCAGCCTACATCAGTGTTCAGGCCCTTTCAGACGTTCGACATTGTAAAGAGCCGAAATGCTGCTCTCAAGTGATGACACCAGCTGATCTCCCCTAAGGCATTGCTGGTGCACTTTCCCTGCGCAAAACCCACTCAGGCTGTGGTGGGGTCTGCACCAGGAGCTGAACACAGCCCTCACCTGAAGTGTAGCACCCTGCAAGGGCAGTCTGTTAGCAAAGCCTGTATTTTTCAGACACTGCCTATGTCTCTGGGTCCTACAAGTGACTTATTTCCTTTAACAACCTTCAAGTGCTTTAAGGACGGTTCCTACTCCTGCCTACTTGTCTCCTCTCCTAGTCTTTAATAACATCATACTCTTTGCCAGCCCAAGGAGTATCTCAGCAACGTTTCACAATCCAAGGACAAAATATCCTTCTGTTTTGTGAGAGTGTGACCTGTCATTGGTGTATTGTTCATGACATTTATTTTGCTTTTGTCCGCTGTTCGGGTATTGAATTGGTGGGGGTTTGATCCATACAAGAGAAACGTAAATAAATTGGGCATATTCCTTCTAAAAAGTAGTGTCTCCCACATGCATTTCTTCTGGGAGCCGAAGGGAGGAGGATGCTTGTTTTCCTTGATGGAATGAGGTCATCCAAAAAAGCGATGCTTTGGTGGTAAAACGAAGGATTTATATCGAGATGGGCAGATGGATGAAGCAGCCACTTCCAGATTGGGTTCAAGTTTTCCAGGATCCAGGCTAGGGTCTCACACCATTCTGCCATCATTGGTCTATCAGTACATTAGGGTAAATCTAACCCACAATTCTCATGGTTTTTAGGGTAAATAACAATTGTAAATTCTTTGCATATGCCTATAAAAGTTGCTTCATCTCTTGTTCAGTCCAAGGACTCCCTTCATTGTTGGGACACCCTCTTGCTTGCCCTCCCAGTTCATTGCTTTCCTAGTTTCACTATAGCTTCATGATGCTTTACTGGGATGAAGCATGAAAATACAAGTAGAGACTTTCCACTCTGGAAGCTGTTCATTCAATGTTTTGCTCCTGAAAAAGCACCACACATGAATAGGCGCTGATAGGTGCACACAGAGGAAATCTGACAGCAGCTGCTGCTGCGGTTTGTACAGTTGCTTTTTTGCCTGCAGGAGTTTTCTATGGTCCTTCAGAAGGAACTTGTCATGTATTTCACTTAAAATAACAACACAGAGGGTGTATCAAACATATCTAAACTTCTTGTGACTCCTGTTGATGAAGAAGCATTCTTCCTGGCTTACAGCAGAGCTTAACCTCTGTCGAGACTGCCACCCTGACAAACAACCAGGAGTGTTACTTCAGAATAAGGGTGGAAGAGCCAAATCCAAATGCGCAGAGACTCATGTGCATACATGAGTACATATAGCGTGGTTACCACCTGAGGGCAGAATTAAGGTGATGTTTACTGAGCAAAACACAGGCTCCGCTGCACGCAGACACTTCAGCCACCATGAAGACAGCAGGCGTGTTGCTGCTGTTTGCTCTAGCCCTTTGCTGCATCCCAGGTGAGTAGCTTTACTGCCTCCTGCTCTGCTTTTGAGTAAGTGCTGGCTGTCTTTAAAACCACAAAAACATCCTCAGACTGGAAAGAGCTTCATTCTACAAGGACTTATTTACTCCTAGAAAGATAGTGTTGAAAAGACTTGACATCAAAGACTATCACTTATGGGGTAATATTTTAGCAACAGAACTGAGTGGGTAAGAACAACTGTGGGAACAGCTCTACTCTCAGCGCTAGTTTATGCATAATGAAAGAAGTGACATGTACGTGGTATAACCCAGAGACTCAGACATCCAGTATTTAACCTCTGAAATGTTGCAGAAACACAAATTATTTTACTGAATGAGCGAGAACATTTCTTGTAGTCATCCTGAGCTGAGATGCAAACCAAGAGCCTGAACAGTTGTAGAAGCTTCATAAAAGTTACATCGCACTAAATACTCCTTGTACTTAAGAACTACTGTGGCAATGCATATAAGATGCTACCTCCAAGTACTTGCCATCTTTACGACCCTGTTAGCCTCAATAACTTGCTGAGCTTTGAGTGCATGTCCTGCTCCATCCTTTGAACCATGAAAAATGTTTTTCTCTTCTTCCATCTTGTACACCCTTTTCCATTTTGGCTGTAACTCTCATTAAAAAAACATTATTCTACAGAATCAATGTTGCAAACCTATAATAAACCACTGCATTTTGTCTGACATTCTTTTTGCTAAGAAGTAATTTGCTAACAGTGAGTTGAAAGTAGCATATTCAGGGCACGCATTCACAGATTTTAACTCTAACAGAACCCACGAATTGCATTTGTATCTTTTTTTCTTTTTTTTTTTCTTATAGATGTTGGTGCACTGCAGGTAAGGGATGGATCTTTCTATTTTCCATCATTTCTTTACTTACAGCAGTTTCTGTTTAAATCCTCACTAATCACATTGTGATAAGCATTTGAAAATCCTGAGCCATTCAGCTGTCTGAGCAATATTTGCCACAGGTATTATTGGGTGAAACTCCTATTTTCACCTGATGGTAGTTTTAACAAGTAGTGCGGTATTCAGTTCATGTCTGAGTTATTGTCTAAGTTACTGCAGCAGCATTTACGATGGTTACACAGGCTCCACATTGCTGGAGGCAATGCACCACTGTACTCCTGCCCTGTTCCTGGGCTTTTTCTCAGCATCTACTTCTGGCCAGTACTGGAGGGAGCTGGGGGTGCGTGTGGGATCTCCTAATGTCACCTTTCTTCCATATCTGTTGTTGAGAACTTTTTTCGTGAACATAGATTGCACCTATCTACAGGGCTACTGCAGAAACTACGTGGTACCCAGCAATGTCTGCACTATGGAATATGTCCCACACTGTGGGTCTGATGGTGTAACATATGGCAATAAATGCTTATTCTGCAATGCATTCCTGTAAGTATGAATATAAGTCTCTTCACTAACTAAATAACAAATTAACTTAAACTAACTAATCAGTCTTGGAGACTGGTTGGAGAGCTGAAGTTCTCTTACTTCATGTTTATCTGTTCTCTTAAAAGCAAGGGTAAGTTTTTATTGGGAGAATTTGCCAGAATTTAGTATAGTTCTGCATTTCCCTCTTAGGTAATTTGCTGAAGAACTTTCTTTCAGCAAACAAAGTCTATTTCATGCAGACTATTTGTTCTTCCTTTAAATTAAGTCTTCATCTTGTCTTTGAATGTTAGTAATAAAAGGAAATAGCTGGAATGCCATTCAGAAGATTTCTATTTTGTTTAAGCCTCTGTATGATATATCTGTCACCAGAGGGAGAGGCAAACAGTAAAAGCCCAGATGTTCTGTCTCTGAGGTACTGATTTCTTTCTCCGCAGGAGAAGCCGTCGGACTCTTCGCTTGAGATCTCTTCGAAAGTGTTAATTTCTCGACAGGCTTCAGCTCATAAAGAGGAATCCTCCCTGGCGCCATTCCCCATGGCAGATGCTCCCCTAAAGCCTTGTCCTGAACCTTGAAAGCTCCTGTTGAATCCTAAAAACCTCTGCTTAATAAAAAAGCCATCAGCATTTATGTTTTGCTTTAATAATATGTCTCATTCTGTTTTTACCTAAGATGTTGCATGATTACATCACTGCAACAATCCTGGGATGTGGATATTAACAGGCAAATTACAGGGAAGAGGTTTCTGTAAAGAAATAGACAAAACCACAAAGGCAGTGGGTAGATCTTGAGGGCATCTGCCGTCATCCAGCTTTCCAGAAGAAAACCGGGGCTGAAGATGCATCCTAGTGCAGTAGTCCAAATGATTTATTCCACTAAGGGCATCTCGGACAGACACTCTCTGGGTTAGGAGAACTGGCTGCTTCCCTAACCACTGCTGTCAAATACCTGCTGCCTCTCCCTTGCATTACTGTGTGGCAGACTTGGGGAGCATGAAGACACCCTAAGCAAGCCTGAACACACACGTAGTTAGAGGCAGTCTCAAGATTGTTACGGTTGGGGGTGTTTTGTGGCTGCTTTGCAAAAGCTATGCAGGCACAGAAGATCTTGCTGTCACCAGGAGCTGCTCAAGCCTGTTTCAGTTTCAGGTGTTACCCCTAATTTCTTAAGTGAAGAAGGGCAGTTTCCCAGCTGCATCTGTTCCTCTTGCAAGCAGGATTGGAAAACCACCTTTTGGTGAGAGAAGCTCTTTTGCAATCCGCTCAGCTTCCCAAAGCAATGGGACAAGATGTTTTCTCTGGGCAGGCAGATACCTGGCTGCCCACGTTCGTGTTTGCAGTGTTCATCACCGTGGGGGATTGCAGAAAACTAGTGGGCAGTCAGTCCTAACAGACCTGATGTTCAGAGGACTGCTAGCAATTGCTATTGCAGCCCATTTTTGCACCTCACCCACCACTTAGCTGCTGCTTGTAGGTAATTACGTCGACTGTCCTTGTTTGTAGAGGATCCTTTGAGATTCTTCGGCCTCCAGAAACCTTGGCTGACGAAAGGAAAGGCTCAGAGTCATAGCGTTAATTTATTATTCATTAACAGCAAAGCGCTGCCAGTGAGGGATGCTGTACAGCAGCAGTTTCCCAGTCAAATAGTTAATGATCTTAAGTGACAACGTGTCACTTCCCAGAAACTGGAGAGAGCAGCTATCTGAAGGGAGGCAATTTATTTCCAAAAGACATGACTCTCTACAACCATTTAGTGCCAAGTCCCTTCCCAGGGCTGGAAAGTGCCTCCTGTGAGAGGGAGGTCTGTGTATGGGAAGGCATTTCATTGGTGGATGCCATTTCTTAGGACCAAGACAAATCG